AAAACATTAAATACATATATATGTACTTAGTCCGGCGGCAGCATCTCAAACGTTAGTTTTGTGGTGTGATTTTGGAGATTTAAACTTTGCTTCACCTAGTTAGAAGTGATTAGAAATATAATAGTCAGTTTATATCATTTATTAAGATATATGCGGACAACCATTTAAGTGAAATACTTCATAAAAGAAGATGGTGGAGCCATGCCGTTAGTTATCACGTAATGTGATATGATTTCTGCCAACCTGAAGTTTATATTGATAGTATTTGTTGGCCAGTGGTGTCGTAGACACTTAGATCAGAAATAGCTCTTTACGATAGCGTCTGTCTGTTGATGGTTCCAAACAAAATACAAACTGATTAATGCCAAGAGTGTGTATCACATGATCCTGAACGTACATTATTAAGCGTCTGATAACTAAGACTCATCAATCAGCATCACTAAGATGCTTTATGTATTGTTATATACCGACAAACGTGCCTGACAGCTTCATTGACAACATCAATTAGACCTTTGACACTCAATTATAAATCTCATCTTTCTTATCAACATGTTAACTAGCGAGCATTTAATTACGAATAAACATAAACATCCTCTTCGTCACTGACCTAATTTTCAATTTAATATTACTCATCCATTTTGTTTTCTGATGTTTAAGTTGATTATATACCAAGAAACGCGTCATTGTATTTACTGAAACAGATGATGAAATAAGAAAAGTAAAACCGGAAACTTTTACTTAAATATCTTATTGTTGTTTTATAAACACATTATAAACAAATTGTTGAACTGTGAAATTTGTTGATCGTGTATGACAGAAGCTATAACGTTTGAGTGTTTGGTTTAGCCAAGAACTATGAAGCCTACAGATAGTAATGCCCATGTGGACATGTCCATAAGCAGGAAAACTCGGCAATTACTTTCTTACATACAATTGCATTCTTTGAAACAACACTTCAAACGAAATATTTGTTGTAAATGAAATGAAGTGTTTGGCACTATAAAACAAATTCCATTTAAATACAACTTACTTGAAACAATTACACATTTATCAAATGATAAACGTTTATATTCAGGAAGGAGGAAATATACGACTGATCAGTTTAATGCAGCATGGCTCTAGATTCATGCTTATTTTCATTAAATGCTTAATAATGTATTTAAAACGAAACATTGTGAAAAAGAAGAAAGTAATTTACACATTGGAAACGAAATTATTTTTTTTTAAAAACATGTCAAAATATCCGAAAATGGCCCTTAGCATTAGAAATATGGTGATATATTTTACAAAATCAGTCATAAATCGCATATAACATGTATATTTCTTGAATTGTGAATATTTGTTTACTTTTTTTTAAAGAAATAGTACATTTTTCTCAAGGTAGATTTTTATAGAAGTATTTTGACTCCTCTGGAGGTATGCAGCTTTAACATAACGTAAAAAAATAACTGCATGAATTCAAAGACAGTTAACATGGTCATTTTATTTAAAATGACAGCTAATATGATATTATAATCAAATACTTATAAATTATATTTTGTTTCTTCACCGAATTCTTAATGACAGAGAATGCTCTTATCATATAATTCGAATCTTATATGAATAAAACCATGTTTCCAGTTTTATCAACTCAAATATTGCACGATTTTTACGTGTCTTGTTATTGTTATAGCACATATCATCTATTTATTATTGTGGAATGGCAGTTTATGATACTTCATATTGACTTATCATTGCTACGAGATATTTCTGTTATATATCTATTAACACGGCAATTGCTCTCTTACCTTCATCTTTCTACTGTTTGTTTTATATATTACATTTTGTATGTTGGCTTACACCCAAACCATCAGCCTATATGCCGACCAGGTGTGCTATGTACTATAATCAAATTAGATTAGTTCGTAAAGCATTCATCATTCAGTTACAGCTGTGTTTTTTTTTTCTCCTTGAAACTTGAAAAAAACTTCAGACCTCTTGTAAATGTGTAAACTTGTATTTATTTTCCGCATTTTTATTTCATAACTATTTTTAACATTTTAATTGTATCTAAGTCGTAGAGAATGTTTCACATTTAAGAGCGATTTCGATCAATAAGAACGTTAAATTTGATTTAGTAACTTATTATATCATTTGACTTTTTTACATCATTTTAATTTTTTCTGATTTGTCTAACTAAATTCTTAAATCAAAACAAATAATGCAATAGTTGCCGGCGTAGACGGGAGGTGCAGTACGGAGTGGAGCCAATGTGACTCAGGAACAGGCTAATATATTAGATATTGGATACTAGAGAAAGTTGGTCTGTCTTTGATAGCTTATTGATTTATCATCTTAATACAAGATGTCTGAGAGAGGAAGAGCAACAATGCTGGATAACGTATAAAATTCATTATTCCAAATAAACGAGGGCTTTCTAGCTAAAAGCGTAGAACTTGGACGCCGCAAATGTCTGTTCTGATCTCATATTGATGTATTGTAAAACCTATAAACGTCACAATGTATCCTACATTACTCCTTTAAAATGATTCAAGTGAATAAAATACCGCAACTAATATCATTTTTCTGCCTAAATTACCGAAGTTGGAATAATATTTCTATTACTGTCTATTTTGCGATCAGAATAAAATGTTGTATTGGTGTAATTTGATAGGAGTTGGTAATAAGGGAATTTTTTCTTTACAACTTGTAGTCACGAACTATGCTTTGTAATCATTTGGTTGTTTGAACCATTAATCTTGCAGTGATTTTGAGCAACGACAAATTGTTAAGATAATACACGTTATTGTTATTAAAATCATATAAAATTTGCATTTTGCTGCAGAAGAAAATATAAAATTTAAAGTAATAGCAAATAATATTTTAAGTGTGATTGCTAATGTTTGAAGACACATGAATAGCGTTCATATTACATTGTACTTCGAGACATCAATTAAAGGGACGTAATGACAAGAAAACTGTGTGACAATACCAGCATGGATTATCTCCCATTATAATAAATGTCGCTAAACGGTGGTAAAAGGGATACTTTATAAGGATATGATCCAGTTTCAGCTACAAGGCAAATAGAATATGTAAGGCCAATATTTTAAATCATTATAGCTGGACATCTTGTAGTGAATGAGATATCTTTGTAATTATTTCCATACACACCCAACATAGAACGCGCTCTTATTCAAATATACTTGTAACTTGGATACAAAATTTCAAAATTCTTGCCAATGACACACTTTTCAAGATTTCAGCAGACGAGATAATATGTCAGAGAACTAAGATAAAAGATTGAAAAAAGACATGCTATACTTACACCGCCTTATTCTGTTTATAAACACGAGGGTTCCTGTCTAACCTAGTAGTAACATCTGGATATTCGAAAAATAAAACATAAGATTGATCTTACATACCGACATATCTTGATAAAAGCTAATGTTTTGATATCACGTACATGTACATCTGAACTGATAAGCCTGTGAGTTGTCTAAGTTATTTTTACTGTATGATAAAGATGTGATAAGGATCTTTTAATGTAAATAATAACACAGTGTCTGTGAAAATTATAGCACTGTTTTGATTTTGAGCCCCTAATTGTTGTTTACGTTAAGTACCATTTTTTCAAAATTACCATATCTACCATAGTTAATATAAACATACAAACTGACATATATACAATGTAAGTGTACTTAGAAAATGAGTAAAGCTCTCTGTAGTTGAGTTGAGTCAGACTATAAGATATAGAAGTTCGCAGGTTAGACTCATACTTCAATATCTTATAAGTCTAACAATTAAATGCATGTAGAATCACACCTGGACATGCTGTTTAATATATTTGTATAAAATAAACATTATATGTCAAAACAAATAGATGTGATCTTTATTTCATGAACATTTAAACGATAACAGATTTAAGTAACATGTTCACTTCATATCACTTAATGTGCCTGCTGTTTTAAGTATTTCTTTCCTTGGGGGGGGGGGGGGTAGATATTGTTGTTAACGTTGTTGCTGTTGTTTTGTTGTTGTTGTTGCTGCTGCTGCTACTACTACTGCTACAGCAGCTATTGGTGTTGCTGTTACTATTGTTGTTGTTGTTGTTGTTGCTGCTGCTGCTGCTGCTGTTGGTGTTGCTATTGTTGTTGTTGTTTGTCATTTTCTTCCCGCTCATCTATAAAAACGCACAGGGGATTATATTTAAATGAGTTTCCCTATAATTGTGCGTGTACGATGCCGTTACAACATTACAAGAAAGATAAAGTATGTAGATACAAGGCTCATTGTCTGCTACTATGATGATATATCAATACAAAAATATATATATGATAATATAATATCCTAATGTAACACCGTCCTGTACATCTCTATACTGTAACACTAGCATATATAATTGATATCTTTTATATATGACTTCATTTCATCCGGAGTTATTTTCAAAAAAAAAAAGATATGTATATCCTTTGGGATGCATAAATGTTAAACCCTGATGTGTAATTTAAATATTTTCGGAATAGTATTATTCAAATGAATTAAACAATAAATTTTCTTCAATACCTCAACTGAGCATAAAATCTTTGAAAAATCAGAAAGCACTTTACTCAGGGCTTATATATAAGTTTACATAGACTTATGTCTACATTAGAATATTAAGAAATTCTGCGAAACCAAATATGAAACTTTAAAATTCGACATATAGCATATTGCCAAGTAGACCTCTATAAAACTTAAACAAACAATGCCCAAGCGCCATGGTCACATTTATAACATTAGGTTGTATAAAAACAAACTTCGAGAATCATCTGAGCTTAGAATTCTGATATGTAACACCTTGGAGTATTTTTAAAGTTATCAAATCATATCCCAAGGACCAAAATTGACTAAGCCCCAGGGGTAACGATTTAAATCTTCTTTTGTAAAACTAAATGTCCTGAAGCTTATAAATTTGACATGCGGCTGGGCTGAGATAATTAAGATTTTAATAAAGTGCTGTTTGTTTTTTATATTTTCAGTCATATTTAGCAGAGTTTGGATACCTCTGGGATGCTAGTGCCGAAGCTGGACCGGCAGGTTTAACGTCTATGGAAGCTTATGTTAGAGCTATAAAAAATTTGCAAAAGATGGGAAATATTCCAGAAACTGGTGTCGTAGACAGGAGGACAATCGAACTGATGCAAAAGCCACGTTGTGGTGTAAAAGATGTAACGAAACCAGCACCATTAACACGTCATAGACGGAAACGTTACGTCACAGCACCGTCAAAATGGGAGACAAACCATCTCACGTATAGGTACGCTTTGTTCATGATTGATATCTTAACTTTTGTTTCGAATTATTTTGATACTTCTGATGTTTGTAGATTTTTACACATCAGTGACCGATGCATTTACGGAAAAAACGTGCGAAGGTCACCCCTGTACAAATGCAGTCTTCTTATATTACAAAATCCTGGGAAGTGTCCGGTCATAAAAAGAAAAAAAAACGGCTGTTTGTATTAGGAAAAATATGAAAATGAAATGCAAAATAATTCATAAATAATTATAGAACTATCAAATTACTAGTCACATAAGTTCTAAATAAACGAAATAATTGCAATGCATATTAGTATAAGTGCGCGTTGTGCCAATACCAGTATATTGTATGGATGTAGACTAACTTCCTGGCCCATGCGTAATTTCAATAATTTCAACAACGACCATGCGGTATAAATCTGTCGCATTTAGCATTAAACGATCGAGGACTCAATATGATGATGTTAATGGGCAGGGGAAATAACAATGATTAACTTTATCAAATAGTTTATATTTTCCCTCTTGAATTACTAGTGTATGACTTATACTTATAAATAGAAAGTTGTCCAAGGGATAAGTTTAAGTGTTTCATCCCTGGTAACTGAAGTTCGAACCAAACTAGGTCACAATCATTTTCATTTTTCATTTAAGAACTGTAAAATGCATTAACAGTTAATGTTTGGTGATTTAAAAATGTGCATTTAACGTGAATTGAATGAATAGATCACTTAAATCCATATACGTATATGAACATGAACAGGTTTAGGTTTTTTCTATATAAATACATTGTATTCATCGATTTCGCACACTCGAACATTTGTCCGGCTGGTATAAGTATGGTTCTTGACTCACATGTCTTAATCAGTTATACAAGTGAGCCGCGTCATGACAAAACCAACATAATGGGTGTGCGACCAGCATGGATCCGGACCAGCATCCGCGAAGTCTGATCAGGATCCATGCTGTTCGCTTACAAACCCTATTACAAGTAGGGAAACTGATAGCGAACGGATGCGCAGGCTGGTCTGGATCCATGCTGGTCGCAAACGCATTACGTTGGTTTTGTTGTGACGCGGTACAATTAAAATAACAGTTTATGATTATAGTACGTATATGAATGTATGAGAGTGATCATGATGTGTCTGCCTCAATGTGTTCGAGCCCTACTTCTTAACTTAACTTCATGTGAGTTTGTCCTGGGTGTGTACTGGAAAATACTTGTAGAAGTAGAAGGATTTATTTCTTGCTGGAGATTAAAATTATGTTATCTAATGATAGTTCCTAACTAATGAATGTCAAAACTTTTATGAGCTTTGTGTGAAATAGAATTACAGTGTTTGTTCAAATCCCATGTAATGAATAAGATAATGGAACAAAATGTAATCAACTTTGAGCGCGTAAAATAAGTGAATTGGCTTTATTTTATGTATCAAGGATGTATTATTATGAAAAGCGATATGGAAATTACGTGGAGAGGGTGGGGGCTGATTCGTTACCACAACGAAATAGTTATGCGTTAGAATCTGTAAATGGGTAAAATGCAATACTTATACATCCAAAATTGTCAATTTAGCAGAATGATAATGTGAACCAATACAAACAATCGTCCATTTTATTATACATGTCAGACGAGAATTATGAAAACCCGTTCATGCAAACTAACAAAGAAAATCTTTCGTGCATTGAAAAATTAACAATATGAATATGCAAACTAAAACAATGGAATACGTGCACGAATCATTTATATTTATCTTAAACATCATGTCATATTATACATTCATCAAATTGTTATTTTTTTTAAATGGAAAAGAAAAAAAAACAATTAAAAAAAACATAAGATATTGTTAGGTCTGATGATAAATATGGGGAAATGTTTCATACTTGAACAATAGGATTTTGACGGAATGCGGGAAATAAAAGTGAAGAAACAAGTGAGAGCGGAAGTAAAGATAATGATGCAATCCGTGTCAGTTTAAAGATGCCCCTTGAGTTGTATCCCTATCTGAGCCACACAATACCGGCCAAGTTCCTTGTTTTACCGCTTTACAATACATCTATCGAGGGGATCTCGTGAAAGATACTTAAATTCCGGGATGTCAAACGCTAAATGTAGACGGTAAAAGCACTTGAGCACCGGGACACGCGCCAACTCCTTGTCAGGAAACGCATGATTCAGTTTCATAAGAGGCTTGCATATATGTTGACAGAGGCCCTAATCGTGGTGCCTTATATACTATTTTTCTTTTCTTTATTTAAATTTCTTAAAATTGATAAGTCATAAACTATCAATGATTAAGCTTAAATAAGCTTACATAATGTATTTACAGTTTTTAGCTTGATTATCGTGCCCTGATGATCGGATTGGAGATAAAAAAAATTCTTATAATTTTTGCTTTAGCCTTTCTTTTTGAATTGAATGTTCTCATAATAAATCGCGAAATATGTTTAAACAAATGTTTTACGTTCAGCCAAGTCTTCTTGGTACGAGAAAAATCAGGTCATATTGGTCGTATTAAAACTGTATATAAATATCGCTACAAAAACATGTATAAATCACAATATACAATGTATACCTATAGTTGATGATTCCTTGAATGTTTCGAACAATCTATGGCTTAATGTACTTTCTTGTACTATGTGTTAATGCCGTTTAATGGAAACAAATATGGCATGCTTGGGGAAGATTTCAGTACACATCTTCTTCACAATTTACATGTTCCTGACGATTTGGCCTATGAGAGATGCCTATCTTATGCAAAACTATGCAAATCTTTAACCATCTTAATTCTTGATAGAAACCATATGGAAAACTCTAAGATGTTTTGTGCACGCATTTTAATCAATAGTTTTGTTCGCCTCTTTTTTGTTATGAATTTAACAATTTTGTGACCCCCAAGTCGGGCCCTCAATAATCTACATGAACATCCTTCAAGTATTTAAATAATTAGCCAATGAAATCGAGGCTGATGAAGCTGGTACACGTATTAAAATGCGTCGTCAACATCTTACATTTCATAGTTTGCACACACTTGTTGACATGTAGGTCAGTATGACGGTAGGTGGCAGCACCAAACATCTGGTAACTATTACGACTCAAGGAAATGTCGTTTGGTGAAATATTTCTTCTTCTGTTGGTTTGTATTTCATTTCACTGGATTTCTGTGAGAAAGGAAGCATGTTTTAAACTTTTGGATTTCATCGCGTTAACATGGAGTTATAATTTTGTGTTGATTTCTAAGATTTGTTATTTTGAATGTTTTATTTCTATATTTCCGGTTTGACATCGTTCCTTCAAGATCTGATCAAAATTTCAATGTTTATTTCAATGTCTGTGCATCATTTTAAATTGTGATTTCTAGGTTAGTGTGTTTTTCTCGGCAATGATTCATTGCAAAAACTCGAGTAGTTTAATAGTGTCTTGCAGATTTACAAAGAACGTATTAGCTTACAATGTTCTTTGTGTAATTTCTTTACGTATTTAAAACTAAATTCATCTAAGAGACGATTCAGTTGTAGCCGGTTTCTAGTTCTGTTTTATATCAGGTTTAAAAGTTAGTTTTGTTCTTGCTTGTGGTCTTGTTAATAATTTTATTGTAGATCTGGTTAGGTAACTGCTTAAATACGTGAGAACTGTTTCAAGGTTTCATATTTAGGTCAATGTTTTCTTGTTCCTTTGATTCGAAATACGTTTCGATGTTTTAAATTGTTTAGGGTTTTTATTTGTTTGACAAACGAGAGGTTTTCGTACCCGGAAGCTATGTGTTTACTTTCCTTGTTCGTGCGGCTTTAGTTGTCTTCTTTGTCAACAGTCAACTGTCACTACCCACTCTTACGTTTAATCCGGTTTAAATGACATTTCGTTAAAACATAATAAAATGAATATTGGTTATGTTAGGAACATTGCAGACGACACTACACTACAGTTTGGTCATCTAAGAGTAATAAAGCAGACGACAAACACCCGATTTTACAGGCGATCCATCCAGCACACAACAAAAACACTTGAGATTCGTGTTTTTGTGTCTTTGCAGCGGAACTAGCAGACGAAAGTGAGATCACATGGAGATAGTGTGTCCTTGACCTTGTTCAGCTGGGTTGCGATGTAATAGAAATCATCACAACCTGCTTGAATGAGGACAAGTGCATTCTGTAGCAACATAAAGATTCCTACATGCATGTTTCAGTGGAAACAGCAGATGACAAGGTTTTTGTGAGCAGCCGACAAGCAGGCAGGGGATATACTTCTTCAGCGGCTATGAATTTCGGGAATGCATATCATTGCTGTGTTTTAAATTGATTCATAATCCACTAAATAGGAAAACGCAACATGTATACTAAGGGACTTTCTTGTAAAACGAATTAGGGGAATTGCTTTTGAAAGTAGATGAACACATTCTTTCTTCTAGCTTTGTTTCTTCAGTGTTACATTATTGCTAGAGTCAAGATCTTGGATTGTCAATGACTGCTTGATAGTTTTAACATATTATTGAACGGCTGTATGTTATATAGTAACAAACTGATCTATTGTAAATGGTTTTTTTTGCTTTAGCTCAAAAGGTGTGGTGCTACCAGAAAAACAAGATGTCGACCTGATGATCAAACAAATTAAAATAGTCTCCAGTCTTCATAACACACCCTCATGTATCACAAATCACAAAACATCTCAAAGAACAATCACATGCCCTTAAATGAGTAATAAACTGCAGAATTGATTTCATGAAACTTGACTAGTTCCCATTCATTTTATAATCATGTGAACGTGAACAATACAAAAATATAATCATCGGTAAACCAGTCCATATCTTGCTAGCAGGTTTCCGGTTCACATTAAATCTTTAGTGTTTGACTTCCGCTCTCCGGATTTCGAACAATTAAGGTTGTCATGGTGTCAAAAGGACAGGATATTTTCAAATGAGAATGTTCGTGAAGGTCTCTATAAGTTAGTACAAAAATAATATATTATCATTCATATACAAATTATAACAATATCACACTCGTG